GTTGTTCTCAAGAGCGACGAGTTGGGGGCGGACGAGTGAGTGCCGGCGGGGAACTGCAGCTGGATGCTGCCCGCGAGCGCTCTCACGGCGCGAGTCGACGACCGAGCTGTCGGCGCCGGCCAGCGCGAGAACCGCCAAGCATAAAAAAATTATTGAAGTTAAAAAATTAAAAATAAAGGAATAAATGCACATATTTTTCCTTCGACTGGTCGACCCCCTCTTGTCGAAATCCAGCATGCTGCCATCTCGAATCTGTAATCGAAGGGACCTTTGCCTTGAAGCGCGGACCGAGAGAACAGGTGGCGATGAAAAGGAGAATAGCCAAGCGAAGACGGGCCAGGCTATCACCACCACCTGCGGCGGCGGCTCCTGGCGCCACCTCGACCGATCCGCATCCGCCACCGCCGCCGCTCCCTGATCGGGAGGGTGCAGAGAACCTGGTGGAGCACGTCGTCGAGGGGCACGCACCAACACCAACAACAACAACGACATGCGATCAACAACAGACTACGTGCAGCCACTGTTTCGACGAGGCCTACCACGACCCTCTGCTGCCGGTACGTGTGGCTCTACTCTTTCTCTACTTTCTCTACTTTCTCTTCCTCTACGTCTCCTGCTCACCCCAGCCTCTCTTCGCCGCCTCTTCTTCAGTGCACATGCACACCATCTCCACCATGTGAAGAAGTAGAAGATGAAGATGATGAAAATGATGATGAAGAGGAAGCGGCGATGGTCGTGGGAGGCGAAGGAGAGGAGCACGTGGACACCACGGCCGCCGCCGTCGAGAAGGAGGAGGAGGAGGAGGAAAAGGCCGCCATGTCGCGACTGGTCATGCGTTTCGGCGTCTCTTGCCACGCGTGCAAGGTGCTCCAGCCGCGCCTGTGGGTCTGCCCGCGAGCGCCGGCCCACCGGTGGTGCGCCAAGTGCCTGCGCAACCGCTTCGGCGTCGCCTTCGCCGCCGCGCCCGCATGGCCCGGGCTAGCCACCGCCCGCGGCTGCCCCGCCTGCCGCGGCCATTGCCCCTGCGCCGCCTGCCGAAGAAGTGGTGGGTCCCAACCACACCAGAACAGCTCCGGCCGCCCACGCATGACGACGGCGGCGGCGGCGGCGACGGAGCAGCCGCAGCGCGATGGCGGCGGTGGTGGTGGAACGGCGGAGAGGCGGGAGCGTGGGTTTGGGCGGCTGATGCACGAGGAGCACCACGATTGGACGAAGGTGCTGGACCGCGACGCGTACCGTTCCTCGCTCGTATTTCGCAAGAGATTCCTCTCCGAAGCCGAGGGTACTACCCACTACCCTCTTCTCTCTTTCTCTCTTTTTCTCTCATTCTTTCTCTTTCTCTCTTTTGCTCGCTTCGCTGTGACTGGCTTGTTTTTGTTTGTTTTTGTTTTCTGTTGTTTGTTTTTGTTTTTGTTTTGTTTTGTTTGCGTGATGACGCGCCAAGGTGAGGGCCTGGTGGAGGTGCTGCGCGGGTGCGAGGACCAGATGCGGTACCACCGATTCGTGGTGATGGGCAAAAAGACGGAGCACTTGGAGCCCCGCGCTACTCTGTGGTACCAAACACAACCCCCCTCCCCCCTCTTTCACCCTTTCAGCAGTCGTCGTGGTGGTACATACTACTCACCGCACCGTGGCGGCGGCGGTGGCACGATCAGCTTTGGCTCCACGGTGGCTTACCACGGTGTGACCGTCGTCACCCAGCCCTGGTCGAAAGCACCGCCGGAACTCATCGCGGTGCCTCTTTCTTTCTCCTTCGTTCTTCTTCTTCGTTCTTTTCCGAGGGTGAGACGGCTTGGAGGCGCTGACCCCGATGTGTGTGTATCGTGTGCGTGTGATGGTGTGTGTGTGTGTGATGGTCGTTGTTGTCGGCGCTGATGATGGACGTTCTTCAGCTCAAGAAGAAGATGGTGGATGAGCTGAAAGTGGAGGTCAACTCCTTCCTGTGTACCAGATACCTCAACGGTACGCGCCGGCGGGCCGGTACCAACGCGTAACCGTTGTCGTTTCGTGTACCGCGCGGTAACCGCACATGCACGACACACACACACATGATGACGACAACGACGACGCACACGTCATCAGGGCTTCAAT